TTTATTGTTTTACTTTTTTTAAAGATTTTTTTTATTTATTTGGGAGAGAGAGAGAGAGATTAAGAGCAAAAGCAGGGGAAATGACTGAGGGAAGGGGAGAAGCAGATTCCCCGCTGAGCAAGGAGCCTGATGCAACTTGGAGTTAGATTCCAGGACCCTGGGATCATGAACTGAGCCAAAGGCAGATGCTTAACTCACTGAGCCACCCAGGTGCCCCTTCATTTATTGTTTTAAATGGTATTTTTATTTACCATTTGGTGTTCAGGCATTTAAAAATATACTTTGCTTCACTTTCTGTTGCTTTGCCTACTTGCTTTCCTCCTTCCTGCCTCCATCATTCCTCCTTCCTCCTCCTTTCTTTCTTTCTTTCCTCTTTTCTTTCTCTTCTTTCTTTCTTTCTTTCTTTCTTTCTTTCTTTCTTTCTTTCTTTCTTTCTTTCTTTCTTTCTTCTTTCTTTCTTTTCTTTCTTTCTCTTTCTTCTTTCTTTTTCTCTTTCTTTTCTTTTCTCTTTTCTTTTCTTTTCTTCTTTTCTTTTCTTTCACTTTCTTCTTTCTCTTTCGGGATGCAGACAATGTGTGGTGCTTGATTCTGTCATTTTTGAGGACTTGCAGGGTACATACCCTATTTCTAATTCTATTAATGATTACTTTTGTATGAAATATAGGCTTGACACGTTAGTTTGTAAACTTCACCCAGGTTAAGAGTTTCATCTCTTTTGTTGACTGACGTATCCTGAGGATCTAGAAGAGTCCCTTTGTCCTTTGTGGGCACTTATGCTGCTTATATCCACTGGTTGAGCAAGGGTAATTCTTGAACCATTTCCATCAGAGCTGTAAGGAAAAGGACTTTGGCATGCAGCGTTCTTTTTAATTTGCAGTATTTTTAAAAAATTTCTTTATTCTTACCATCTTTATTCAGCTGTTTCCTAGCATTGTTAACTAGACAAAGGGCCTTGAGAAAAGAAAATGTGTCTATGTTCACCACTGCATGCCCATTGTCAAGTGTACATATGGAATAAAGGCTCAACAAATATTTGATGAGTGAATGAGCAGGTTTCACACCAGCCTAGAATCAGACCAAAGTCACATAGTTGTTTCTCAACCTAGAATGCAGGGATTTTTAGATTCTCTTCTTCTTCATAGTCTATTCAGGATTTAACAGCCCAAATGGTTCTTTTAATATTTGAGTTAGATTTTATCATTTCTGTGCTGGCCATCTTCTGTTTTCCCATCCTAACGAAGCATAAAACCAGTGAACTCTGAATCATCTCTAAGGCTCTGTGATCTGAAATCTTGGCTTTTCTGTGGCTTCATTTATTTTTCTTTTCCTCATTTATTCCAATCCAGCTGCACTGGATTGTTGTTCCTGAACACACCAAGCATATTCCTGCTTCAGGGCATTTACTTGCTGTCCTCCCTGCTCAGGACACCTTTCCCATAAATAGCCACATGGCTCACCCCTTACCTATTCCACATCTTTGCTTGAATGCAGTCTTACCAAAGAGTCTTCCATGATCAGGCTATTTAAAATACCCATGTAAAACCTCACGACCCTCTTTCCTTCCCTGCTTTGCATTTTCCTTTGTGTTCATCATTATTATCATCTGCAATATGTTACATTTCCTTGTTAATTATCTTATTATGTATCATCCCCCTGAAGAGTATTAGCTTTTCAAGGGCAGGAATATTAGTCTTTATTATATATAGCTGGACCCTGTATTGTCAGTAACAATGTTTGGCACGGAGATGGTACTTAATAAAAAAATGGATGAATGAATAAATGATCGGCTCTCTTTACTTGGAAACTGGAGCTAACAATACCTATCCTGCGGTGTTCCTGTGCGCCTTAGTGATGATGCATAGACAGCTGTTAGCTCGGTACATAGTAGTCATTCAGCAAATTATAGCTTTTAAAACTTTATAATAAGGCAAAAACCTAGAACACACCCAGTTTCTTTTAATTCTCCAAACATTTATGGAGAAATAACCTGTTATGTACAAGGTAATATATGTACAGGATATAAAGGTAGAGAAGCTTCTGTCCTTATTCTTACAGATGCAACCTAGTAAACACGGGGATTCTTTTGCACGCTCAGGCGCCCCAAATTCTTACACGAACCATAATTAGATTCCAAGAGTGATTCTAAATATCTCAAAGGCTGATAGGAAGCCTTTACAATAACAAACAGAAGATTCACTTATAAATTCCTCCTCTGCAAAAATGCCTTTGAACATTAGTGTGTCCTTTCTCTAAATCATACTTTTCTAGGAACCTGCACATCTCTAGAAAAAAGGTAGATCACACATTTGCAAACTTCTGATGGATCCAAAGGTTCAAATTTCTGTCTCTCAATGTGCTACTTATACCACTTACACTTCTAGATAATCGATATATGTACATCTATATCTACCTATATATAAATACTGAGATATAAATCAATACTTTTTTAGGAAATATTAGAAGCTTGCAAAAACAACATAGAGAAAATATAATGAGCTGGTACCAGTATAACTTAGACTTTTTATCAAACCTTAACATTTGATGTCTGAATCAAAATATTTGATTCTGGGGCACCTGGGTGGCTGAGCGGTTGAGCATCTGCCTTCAGCTCAGGGCGTGATCTTGGGGTCCCGGGATTGAGTACCACATCAGGCTCCCTGAATGGAGCCTGCTTCTCCCTCTGCCTGTGTCTCTGCTTCTCTTTGTGTGTGTCTCTCATGAATAAATAAGTAAAATCTTTTTAAAAACCCAAAATATTTGATTCAAATATATTTCCCAATAAATTAAATATTACAGATGTTATTCAATACTCTCATTCCATTCTCCCTTCTTTTTCTCACTATAGGTAATCCTGAATTTGTTATTTTTCATTATTGTGGGTTTACTTCTTTAACTTTTACAATGATTAAATCCTCTATATAAATCACAGATATGGCTTCCTTCACCTTTAGATTCATATTAAAACAAAAATAGAATGTCTCATTTAAAATTCTTGATATTTACCCTCTCCTAAAAAATCAGGCCACGTGGCCAATCTTTAGGATTGGTTGTGTTTCGGGGTCAGGCAGCCGGTTGGAACTGGGAGGTGGTTCTGTCCTTACCAGCACAGTTATATTTAATGTCTACTAAGCAGCTTCATGCCTGTTTCTTTCTTTTATATTTGTCAATTCTCTGTTGGCATTTATATTTGTAATTTCTGTTCTCTGGATTTTAATCCATTTGACAGTTTCCTTCTTATTCATCTTCTGCTTTATTTCTATGTTGGTTTACTTTGTTGTGTTCCTCTTTGAATTTTTATTTGAAAGATGCAAGCAAAATTTGTACATTCTCTTTCACATTGTTACCAGTGACCAGTTGACCTAACTTCACAAAGCAATGAGCCTATTTCCCCACATTTTTCTTGAATTGAACACAACTCCCTTAGAATTTTTTTTGATAGAACTGATGTTTTTTGGGTTAGACGTCTACACTCCCTTCATCATCCCTTAAAAATTCTCTTTTAAATTATTACACTAAATCCTCAGGTGTTATAATCCCATATACTTTGTTGATCTGGTATACGTTTTATTTCATCTTTGTCATGGAAAGAAATTCTTAAGCCAGGAATGGGTAAATGAATTAAGGGAAAGAGGCATGATTTCATAGGCCTGTGTGGAGAAAATGAAGTCCAATAACAAAGAATTATTCAGTTTAATTATTCATTTTGCTTTGAGAATAGTTAATGAACATCTGGGAAAGTATGATACTCTTAATTTATGATAATGTCTGTTGTAAATGCTACACTGTTTATTGAATATTAAGGACAGATAAATGGAAGGTTGGAAAAAATATCTACATGTGCATTTTCCTAATACACTGTACCTGCAACATTTTCTTTCTGGAGCATCAGATTATCCCAGGCAAATGTATTTAGTTGGCAGCAAACCAAGAAATCACTCTGCTGATTTTATTCTCTTGTAGAACCGTATTCAGGTTTTTTTTTTTCGGCTTCATAATTCAATTGCAGCAGTTGCAAATTCTCCAATACTCATTAAGGCCATGAAAAATAGTACGCCACATTGTGATTTTCACATTTCTTCTAAAGGCAAGTACATTCCTGATCCAGACCCTATGTCCTAGTGTGCGAATTTTTAATCTCTGCTTTCACAATTTTAGTTTTAGGTAAACTTTGCTGGATGGAATTGTATAATTTTTCATCAGCATATATTTGAAACACATAAAGAAAGGATAGATTATCATTAAATTACAATAGGAAAATAAGAAAACATACCAAGGTGATTTTAGATTCTCTTGAGTTTCTTTGAAAAAGGAGGCCTCAATTCCAATAACTGTTCTTAGTGATATTATATGTTGTCTCTCTGCTCTTAATAAGGAGCTTGCAGCCATTAGCTGAAGACTTGCCTGACAGATTATAAATGCCTTTGTTGAGGTAGTTTTGCTATCTTGAAATATTTTCTTAAAATTCTACATTTGAATGAAAAAATACCATTTATTTATTTGTTTATTTATTTATTTATTATTTTATTTATTTATCCATGAGAAACACAGAGACGCAGAGACATAGACAGAGGGAGGAGCAGGCTCCCTTTGGGGAGCCTGATGCGGGACTCAAGTCTAGGACCCCAGGATCATGACCTGAGCCAAAGGCTCAATCACTGAGCCACTCAGGTGTCCCGAAAAATATGCCTTTTAGAAATGTAAACCAGAATGTGACTTCTGTCAAGAATTGAAGGCCATCTTGCTTTCTATTACATAGCAAATTAATGTGTTCTAGAATACAGGTCACTCCATGAAAAGTGTGGGCATATAAAACATGTACATTTTAGTAAAGTTATGCTACTTTCATTATCACACTAATTTTATAGCATTGTAATGATGTAGATCATTTTGAATGCAAAAAGTCAAACTGAATATTAAAACGTAAGTGCACCCCAAAGAAAAGGTATACACCAACTTCGTTTTAAAAGAAACAGTATTTATTAAGAAATTATATGCTGAGTTCTCCTACAGTCTGTGAAGATGGTTTCCTCCATTTCCACAGCACAAGACAACAGCAAAGAGCATCTGGAAAACACTTGCAATGCCTGGGAATGGAGCGTTCGTAGTAATAGGAGATGAAGTGATATAAGCACTATTTAAATTTTTGGAACCAAAGACAAGACAATCTTTCCTTGCCAATATAGTTTTCACCTTTATTGGCACTAAAACCTGTCCATGGGATCTCCTACCCAGACTGAAGTACTGGGTAATAGTTGGATCATTTCAGTTGAGTAGAGAATGCTCAATTTAATCACAGGTCCAAGCAACAGAGTCCTTTAGCTATGGAATCACATCTGAAATATTTGCATTCTTTATTAATAAAAATGGTGCTTATGGAGGGCAGAAATATAACATTTTCAAGTATTTTATCATTATGATCTGAAGTACTTTAAACTATAAATTAAAAATAAATTATAAAAACTAGCTTACGATGTATCTTTTCTTACGTGACATTGTTGGAAATAAGCTTTAAACATAGAATTGCAATATCACCTGACTTTATATATGATCAACAGTAAAACATGCTAATCATAAAAATAGCTTTTACAAATATACATTTGTATACAGTGTCTCCCTTACCATTCTTAAATGTCCTTCACATTTTAAGACTTTTAAGACTTAAAAAAACACAACATAATTAGCAAAGGGGAAAACACATTTACAGTCTAAACCATAGAAACCTGACAATTATATAGCTTAGAACATAGAAGAAATGGAATTTCTAAAATTGAACAATACTGTCCATTTTATTTATTTGGGTATTTTTTTTTTTTATAAAGTGAACCAAAGATGCTGCTATCCAGTAAGAAACTTCCTTTCACATTTCTGGGGGTTGTCACAGTTTCTCTTTTCTGCTTTTGTGGCATCATTCATTGCTTCAGATCACTTTATCTGTAGAAACTGAGAAAAGAAAAAAAGGTATTTTAAAATATTGAGATTTAGGTTTCATTGTTGATTGCATGCATATATGTAAGTTAGATTCGAGTGGGATTTTCAGGCCAAATTAGGAGGTGATAAGAGAAGAGCTGAGTCTTTAGGAAAAACACTTTTGAGAAATTTAGGTTCTTAGATCCTTTGCTGTAGACATTGCTAAAATTATTTATATTTACAGTATGCTATAAGTTTTAAAAATCCAGTCCATTTATTGTCTGGAATCAGTAATTATCTTTCAGTTCAAGCTCTTGATCAAGTCCGAGGGGAAACACTTGAAGTTCTTGGCTAGGATAAGAGATTTGGGTTGCTTCCGAATTTCTGTGGCTCCTCACAAGAGTGACCGTGGGATAATTTTGCCCTCTAAGAGGTTTGAACAGGGCAGTCCTAAGCCTTCTGCACCTGGAATAGGAGAAAAAGCAATACGGATCTCTGATCAGGGTTACATAATCTTGGTTGTAAGAGACGAAAGCTAGCTGTGGGGTCCCTGGATGGCTCAGTTGGTTAAGCGCCTGCCTTCAGCTCAGTTCATGATCTCAGGGTCCTGGGATCGAGCCCTAGGTTGCATTCTCTGGTCAGTGGGGAGTCTGCTTCTTCCTCTGCCCCCTAACACCCAGTTGTGCTCTCTATCTCTCAAATAAATAATTAAAAAAATTTAAAGAAAGCTAGATGCAAGAGGGGCAGTGAAAAACTCATGGTGCAACCATGAGCCGAAAACATCACAGAAGAGCTAAAATTCAATTGATAGAAGAATTGAAGTGAGAAATTGAATATGAATATGAGGATAAAATAATGCAAGATTTCAGTAGAGGGAAATGCCATGTATTTATCCTAGAATCCTATCAAGCTCAAGGTTTATATTTAGATAGAAAATATAATTACACCTATTATCCCGTCAACTTCAGAGTTTTTGCAGTTATATGGAAAATCTGTGTATGTGTCTTAAGAGTCAAAGACAGGCAAATTGATGTATCAATTAGGATGGGAACTGCTGTTGAGAAAAACATCGTGTGTCAGTTATTGGTCCTGGGGGAGCAAATACCATTCACTGGTTATCAATCCCAGCGAAGTTCTCCAACTGTTTTTGTCCACTGTAATTTGGTATTAGATTTGTCCAGGAAAACAAAACACAGCATTGGATGAAAACAGTGCTTTACAGCTCGAGTAGTGTGCTTTGGTCCTTCGTGGCTAGGGAGTCCCTGAAACAGCAGGTAGATGTGGGGCAATCGGCCTATGCATAACCTTCTCCTGCTGCCGTGGTAGGACCCTGAACTCTCCCCTGAGACTTAAATACTGAAAATTGTGTCTGACAATCATTAACATCCATATTTAAATGGAACAAAGAAACTCTCCTCTAGTCTGGACAGAGAAAGATATTTCCATACAAGGTGATAAAACCGACAGGCTTTAGGGGTTCTCTGTTTCTTGGAAGTATTCAAAGGCCTGTTTTTATGTGACTGAATGGGTGTTGAAAGATTGCATTGGCGGGTTGCCTTTTCCAACAGTTACTGACTTCTGTTAATAGCCAGACAATTAGGTAACTTGGCCTTTTATTAAAGTTTTAAAGCCCATGATATAGAGATTTTGAAAAAGATTGAGTATGGCAGCTGGGGTGGTGAGAATTGCTTTGGATATCAGTAGCTCCAGATCTCACCCAGCCAATGTCCCTGGTTGAAAGTTGCCAGTGATCTAGGATGGTACTTTCTTTTCCTTCATGGCTATGCATTTGTCACACTCAAAAACATAAACCCCTGAGTAATTTCAGTTGAGTGGGATGTCTTCTTCCTTAGTGAGTAAACATCTTTAATTCTATGAAGATGTAGAATTAAATATAAGAGATTTGGAAGAGTAGAGGCATAGTATTAATATTTTTGTGTTAAGAAAGCATTTGGATATTTGATACTGTAAATACTTGTGTTATATAAGAGGATTTAGCTTGTTAGTGTGACCGTCCTGTGATTTCAGTTTAGAAAATGCCATTAAAAAGTAGATTAAGACACAGGATTTCAGTTTTATGATTTGGGATCTTATGACCAAATCTTACGTTTGTGTATGATAGTGGAAAGTCTAAGAAAGCCTTAGGCCATGTTGATACATTGAATTCATTAGATTTTAAGAAATATTCTTAGAAAGATTTTGTTAAACTCGACAAATGAATTACTTAAAAACACAACATAAAACATATTAAATTCACAAATGCCCTTTACATTGTTTGAATGCTATTTAATTAAGCAATCTGGGACAACCATTTTTCAGAGGACTCTCGGTACTGTGTAAACCTTGCTATACTTAATAATAAATGCCTAATAATTTTGATTTTAAAACTTTCATAAATCAAACAACTGAAAATAAACAAAATATATACCATAAATAGTCTGTTTTCCAGCCAAAAGCATTTAAAACCTTAATCTTTAAGAAAGAAGCTTGAAGGCCTAAGTACATTGTGATACTGTGATATTCTCTCTCTTTCTCATTTTTGCTTCTCTCTCCCACTCCCTCTTTCTTTTCCTCCTTCCCCTCTTCTTTCTCACCCAGTCTATACTATATGCTTCCTGGTCACACATAACATGTATTTCTAAAAATGAAAACGTTACTCAAATGTGTTCTTTGTGCAGTTGCAAGAAGTGTTCATGGGAATAGAGTCAATGAGTCTTTAAAGCACAAAGTTTTGAACTTATGGTCCAAAGCAGGCGTGCCATGTGCTGTGTGGTATAAAGGGAATTTTATACATTCCCTGTACGCACATAACAAAAATGATCCATTCCCAATGTGAAAACGAAAACTTTAATAAATACAATTAAATTTAACCTGTAGAATGATGGGAACATAAAGCATAGTGGGTTTAGATTTTGACTGATAACACTTGTGTGCAGGGAGGAACTAAAGCTCTTTCCTTATACGACTGTAGTCACCCTCTTTCCTGTGGGGCCTCCATTGATCACTCTTATTACAGATGGAACATGCTTAAAATGCTGCAGCAGCTGTGTATGTAAAGTTTACTAATCATTGTGTTTCTTCAGGTTAAGTCATGGCAGATGACATTAATTTAGTATATTCTTCACCATCCTGCTTGTCTCAAAAGAGGTAATGAACGGTTGTTTAGCTACTATCCATTTTAAGGAGAGAAAAACAGCCTGCAGATTTTTTGTGCATATTCCATTACCCCTGGTATGATTTCTCCTTACCCCTTCCTTTGCTCCTTGATTGTAAATGATTACATAAAAATAATTATCTCGGGAAGAAGAAAAGGAGGTTTGAAAATAATTTATTGAAGTCTTACTTCCTTGCCATAAAGCTTCAAAGCATTTGCCTGTCCCTAATACAAAACAAAAGCTTCATTAACTTTGCATTGTGAGGTAGGTGTTATTAACCATATGGATACAAGTCATGAATATAATTCTCCTTATCTAAAAGCAATGGCAAAATATATTCACTAAGCTTCCCATGGATCTTCTAGTCTGAGAAAAAGATTGCTTTTGCTTCTAAAGGCATGGGAGAAAGGGGACAACTATGACATTCTTGTTGCCTTTTTCTCAAGAATGACAGTCACTTAAGGAGCTGATTGGCTAACTATAATGTGAAACTAATTGTGCTTTCCTTTTGAATAGTGGGTAATTTATCTAGTGGCTATATGGGAGCCTGGATGCTTTTAAAACCAATTATCCTGATGATGAATGCTTTTCCAACTCTCAATCTCTCCCATTTCTGAAAAACAACAAAAAAGAGATACTCAGATGGCCCTGGATGGTACTGAACCAAGCAATTTACTTCTACTTGACAAAGATAAAAAGGACAGTATTAATCTAAGGGAAAGCACATTTAATTTTAAACCTAATGAATTAATATATATATTTATTGGTGTAAGATTGATATATAACATTATATTAGTTTCAGGTGTACAACATAGTTCAGTCTACATACTACAAGGTGAACACCACAATTAATTTAGTTACCGTTTGTCATCATACAAGCCTTTCTGTCCCCAAGCCTCCTTCTCCCCTATAGTCACCAATTTCTTCGTTGTACCTATGAGTTTTCTTTTTTGTTTTTTGTTTTTTTTAGATTCCAAATATAAGTGAGATCACATGCATGGCAATTGTCTTTCTCTGTCTTATTTCATTTAGCATATCTTCAAGGTCCACCTGTGCTGCTGCAAATGGCAAGATCTCCTTCTTCTTTTATGGCTGAATGGTATTGTTTATATATACCATAACTTCTTATTCATGCATCCATCCATGGACACTAAGGTTGTTTCCATTCCCAGCTATTGTAAATAATGCTGCAATGGACATAGGAGTACATATATCTTTTTAAATTAGTGTTTTCATTTTCTTTAGATAAATACCTAGAAGTGGCATAGCTGGAGCACATGGTAATTCTATTTTTAATTTTGCGAAGAACCTCCATGTTGTTTTCACAACAGCTGCACCAATTTACAGTCCTACCAATGGCGCACAAAGGTGCCCTTTCTCCACATCCTCTCCAACACTTGTTCTTTTTCTTTTTGATAATAGCTATTCTAACAGGTGTGAGATGATATCTCATTATGGTTCTGATTTGCACTTCCCTAATAATTAGTGATGTTGAACATCTTTTTACAGGTACAGCAATATGTGGAAAAATGCACTTTATTAATAGCTCCACAAAAAATCATATTTAAAAAATTTTAATATCAGAAATGCTTGCTATTTTTTTCTAGTTGAGATCTAGAACTAATAAGCAATTAGAGAAATACAGAGAATCATATTTTTAGATAACAACTATAAAAGCAAAAAATGGTGAAAGGAAATATGTAAAAAAAATAGGCTGTATAACATTTTATAGAAAAGCAGAGTCTTACGAACAGAAATTATCTATATTTATTGTCACCCAAAGTAGGAAAGACTATCCACTGGAAAAAAACACAGTCTCTTCAATAAATGGTGCTGGGAAAATTGGACATCCACATGCAGAAGAATGAAACTAGACCA